CAAATTGAATTTTTGTTCAATAAAAATCTTTCAAATGCGACTGTAGCTTTTTTTCCCCCCAAAAACTTTGTCTTCAAAATAAGGGTGAGTCTTATACACCGGTGTGTATTATATTCCGAAAAATATGGTAGCTCATGTCATTTTAACATTGTACTACAGATTGCTTTCCAGACAAGTGTGATGGCTTTTTATGCCTGTCAGGAGATAGAAGACATTTGATTACTGAGCACATTTACATAGAAATTCAAAATGTCTTGTATTTGCATGCATGGCCATGGTGTATGGGTATATCAATATATATTATTTCAGCAACACTTCTGGTATTCCAGTATATAATATTTAATCTATATTATAAACAATTTGTACAATGTTAAAATTTTGACACTTAAATGATAACTTGAAACTTTGTACTTTTCTCTCTTTCAACACTACACATTTTTCTTAATAAAACACTGTTAAGACAACATTGTTTTCTGACAAATACTGGTCTCTCAACAATACCATACTACTCTAGTTTCTACATGTATATACTTGTGCTGCTTATTCTTTTTTGTTTAAGTTACTCATTTAGTAAATCAGACTGGCTTCAGGAATAAACCATTTGTTGTTTATGTTTATTAAGATATTATTGTAAAAGGCACAAACTAAAATGTTACAATAACTTAACCAACTTTATCAGTGTTTGTGGCTAAAAACAGTAATGATACTCCAATACTTCTAAGAACTTGTAAGTGAAAAGAAGATGAATATATAACAATATGTCAACAACACTATATCTGCTATAGTCATTGCTGATAAGGCCTTTTGCCCAATACCAGGGCTCGTCAAGCTGGGAGTGATGTGACAGACACAGTGGTGGTTGAGATGCTATTTATGCTATCAAACTGCATGAACAATAACTGTTTATGAAGTACAATTTTTTTACTACTGTGTCTGTCGTACTCAAGCTACCCTGATAAGCCCTGGTATCAAGTGGAAGACTTCATTGGCATTGGATAGAGTACTATACATTCCTCTTTTATTTTTACTCATAAATTCTGTGAATTACTAATGTAGTCTTCACCCATTTACACTGTGGTTGCTTGATCCACTCCTGAAACACTAAAACTAGCCTTTTGAATAATCAGTAAAATTAATTCAAATAAGTAGATGATTTGTGTTCAAAAAATTAATGATAATAGTATTGTGTTATTCTAATTTTGATTTGTAAATGACTTATGTTTGAGATACTATTCAAATTATGCTATATGTGTAAAACAAAATGATACCTGCACTTGAACTTGTTGAAAAGTAGATTACTTAGGGAAGCTCTTGATTATTTTCTTTACAAACTATATAACTTTAGATAATTTTCTAGTTCTTATTAGATGTGAAAAAAAGAATACTTACATGTGAATATGGTAGGGGAGAAAAAACATATCTTTGATAAATACTAAAAGTTTTTGAAAAAAGTATTAAAATAGAAAACTGTTGCTGTTACTTTTTCAGCATGTTAGACATCATTGGCATTACTAAGTCTTCCTTAAACAGATATTATAATGATGTGACATTATAAGAATTTAAAACTTTCTATAGAATCTATAAAAAACAAAGATTTATCTTGTTTATCACAAACAAACTTTTTATACTTATACTGTACAAGATATATCAAGGAATGTATAATGCTGTAGTGTGTAGAGCTGAAGGTTCCTGACAGAAATAGAGGAAAAAAGATGCTTGTTGATATTTCTGACAAGCCCTCTGATTCCACTGGTGACAAGTGTTAGATATATGTGTACATGTATTTAAAGATAAACTTCCCATTAACAAAAGAAAGGTTACTGTTATACTGGTGAGAAGTTTAAGAAAGCTTGTCTATCACTTATATACACAAAATTTCTTAAAAATTTAAAAAATTGTTTTTAAACTCCACAGATCATTTCTGGTTGTACAACAGACAGTGAGTAGGTGTTTCCAAACTGAAGATTTGCTAATGTTGCTTCTATTTTTAAATGAGAGGAAAGGATAAGAGTTACCCAGGAAATTACAGGTCATTTAGTCTTACTTTTATAGTGGGAAAAATTCTGGTCTTCATAAAATAAGCTTTAGAAAATCATCTAGTGAAATGTTATACCAAAAAAGAAAGCCATCATGAATTCACCAAATTGAAAGATTTCTTTATTAATATTTTACTCAAGGAGGTTCCTTCTTATCTTGATGATGGAAAAGGTTTAGTGTACTTTGATTTTCAAAAAGCTCTAGATAACATGCTACACAAAAAATTAGATAGAACACCACATTGGAAGGGATTAAGGAAAGACTAGTTAATTGGACTGTAAGATGGTTGGATGGGAGAAAGCAAAAGGTTGTTACTACTGAGTCTAGTCATACTGAACATGCCTCAAAGGTTAGTGCTTTTTGCCAACTTGCATATAATGTTAATTATTACATTCATTTTGTAACTTTCTTATAAATGCAAATAAAAAATGTTGTTATTGTTGGGCCATTGCTTTTTCTTGTTACTCACATTAGTAACACTGATATGAGCATAATTAGTAGAATTTGCCAATGATAATAATTTCTCAAGTATTTCTAGTTGTACTGAGATGTTGTATTACAGAAGGACTCGAATAACTTGGTAAGGTGGATGAATATTTGGCAAATGACCTTTAAGTAGTAAAGCTGATACAATTTTAAGGTGTAAATATAAATATATTGATTTCAAATAAAAAGAGATGTAATTACATCTCAATACAAATCAATAGTTAGGCCTCACTTGGAATTCTGAATTAAGTTTTAGTCTCCTTAAGCCAAGTAAAAGAAAATACATTTTTAGCATCCCTGCCTGCTTTCTTTAATGCAGCCACCTTTTTTTTCGATCATATAAATAAACAAAGAAGACTTCTGAATAAAAAATGAGATGAACACAGTTAATATTTTGCCATTTTTCTTTGTCATAAATTCTGTATAGTTTTGATGAAAAAAAATTAAACAAAGAAAACTTCTGTTTGACAAGAACCCTTTGAAAACAAGCAACAATCATGACAAAAAAGGATGGAAACTTTCTTTCAAAGGTGTCATTAAAAAAAAAGAACTCTTTCTTCCTTTTTTCAAAAACTCTGGATGTAAAACATGTTTTTTTTTTACTCGGTCTTATCTACGATACTTACTTATTGGAAAGTGTTTTGAGAAAAGTTACTAGGATGATTATAAGGATGAAGGGTTATCTTATAGGAGTAGGTTATCTTTTATATATATAGGTTCATTCTGTTTATTGATATCCTGCACTCACAAAAACTTATTTTCCCTTGAGAAAAGTAGGATAAGTGATGATCTTATTGAAATTACAAAATTATCCATAGACTTGATAGGATAAATTCCTGTGAGGGTAAAAATTCAAGTTTTCATAAAGATAAGCATAGACCCAGTTATTTTTCTAATTTCTAATAAAGTGATTGATTTAAGAGTGAGTTGCCATTGGCTGTAGTGGAAGCCAGCGCATTACTGAAAAATAGAGGGTGGTTTAATGTTTTGCTTTTTCTTAAGAATAATAGAGGGAATGCAGCAACAGCCTTGAACTGTTGAAGGATTAAATGGTCTCTTGTTGTCCCTAATTCAAATTTATCTGTAAAATGCTGTTTTAGGTCTTGTTTTTATACTGAAGAAGATATGGATAGTAATCTTATTGTACAAGAGCAGTTAGGTATTCATGATTAAAATAAAACATAATTACTTTGATATTTACGAAAAGACCAATTACAGAGTAAATAGGTGTTATGTCCCCAAATACAGGGAAATCGACTAAAAGTAAAAGAGGGTACATGTGGTCAAACTTAAGTTAAAGAAATTATAATAGTTTTTTCTAGGTATATTATTGCACTTATTTAGTTATTATAACTATATGGTGTTTTCTCATATCAGGCACTTATGTTATACTAAATAATTTATATTCAGTAAAAATAAAATACTGTATTTAAGTTTTAACACACACAAAAGCATTTATTTCAATTTTAGTAACTTGAGGGTAGATTACAACTTAGCTGGTGCGATCCACTCCCAATGCTATCACTAATAAGTAATATACATCGAGTGGAGATTTTTAATTTCGGAGTTAAAATTTAAATTGTTTCAGATGCGAAGGCCTAATTTATTTAGCTTACTTGTGTTCTAAATCAAAGGTCACAACACCAGTAGTACTAGCATTAGAAATAGAATATATTATATGGACCGAAACTCAAGGAATAAGCCCAAATGAAAAAAACTAGTTTTACTAGGCTGGACAAATAATATGATTTAAAAAAAAGACAAAACATGGTCTTAAAAGTATTTATTATAATGTTGTCCTAGCATATTTAGAATACAGCAAAGAATGTAACATTTTACCTGTAATTTTGCCAACTTATTGCCTCCACTGAACGTAGACAAATCGTACTTAAATTTACATTAAATCGTCAATATTATTTAGGTTTTATAATTATTAGAGGGCGCTTTACTCATTTTTCATTTTATTTTTTTGTTTATCAAAATAAATCTGTAGTATATAAAGACTTATTATTATTATTTCTATTTGTGAACTTACTTTTCTTTTAACTAATCAGTTTGGTTTTCTTAGCCTTATTGTGAATGATATATATATATATATATATATTTCACAGACTTCATCCTATGAAGTCCCCAATGGCTCAACGTTAAGTCTGAATGCTTATAATACTGAAAACTGGGTTTCCATACTAGTGTTGGCCACAATATAGATAACTCTTAGTGTAGCTCTGCGCTTAACAAAAACCAAACAAACTCTTTTGTAATGAAGTTAACGCCACACTCAGATTAGGTCTTTATGTAATACTCAACACCTGAAAAGTAGCTGTCAATCTGGAAAGGACTAATTTCAGGCTATAAATCCTGGAAAAGCATTGCATAAACCGACTAGGATTTATTTGTAACTACCTGACCTCTCAAAACTGTGCCAAGCCAGGCTATATAACAATATTTTTGGTCGTTATTTGAATACTTTTGTAAACTATAATTTTAATATTGTAATTTGTTTGTTTGCTAGAGAGCGTTGCGGATGGTAAATCATAATGTTAAAATTGAAATGTTTAGTAATATAGTCCTAGAACTTCTAGAAAGTTCTACAAGACTTGACGTCATATTTTCTAGTAAATTTGAGGATGGACTATAACTAACAGGCTCACTGAAGCACCGAGAAGATAATTAAGAAAATAACAGTTTTTTTCTCTCTGGTAGATTGAATAAGTATGTTTTTGTTTCAGTCGTGAAGTGGTGTGTTTGTTTGTTTGTAATTAAGCACAAAGCTACACAATGGGCTATCTGTGCTCTGCCACCACGGGTATCGAAACCAGGATTCTAGCGTTGTAAGTCCGCAGACATACCGCTGTGCCACTGGGGGCGTGAAGTGGTACAAGTAAGTTTATTCTTTATGTTAGTGCAGTTAGCATCATTTGTAAGCGTGACCTACAAGTTCCACATTGTTCAAGTTTGTAAAAACGTTAAGGAAGAAGTAAACTAACTTGTTATCACTTACGTGCAATGGACATTGAACTGTTTTCAACAGATAATTTAAAAGAACAATATTACAACAAATGGCAAAATAAGGCAAAGCTAATGACAAAATGGTAAAAATATAATAGAACATTTACTAAGTGTCAACTTTCATTCAAGATGATTACAAAGGCACAAACTGAGATAGGAAACCTGTTAGACATAATAAAAAAATGGAAAGAACAACAAGCAGAAAGAGACAGAGTATTTGAAGGAGAACAAGAAAAGGGAGACAGTAAATAAGAAGAAAGAGACAGAAAATAAAATAAAACCAAGAATATATCTACTGAAAATTAAAATAAGACCAAGATATAAAAAAATGGGAATGTAAGAGAAGAATTAAAAGAAAGAGATATACTATTTATGAAAGAATCAAATTATAAAAGAAATTCTGACTGAAGACAAAATCCATGAAAGTATTAGAGATATATAGATAGATTAAAACAATAAAATTGAACAAAAATGCATACTATTTCATTTGTGCCACATTTTTCATTTTCTTGTGTTATATTTGTATATTCAAATTGTTTACTTATATATATATATATATATATATATTTCTGTTGTAATTAATAAGATTGAAGAAGTATGGAAAACTGTAGTGGCAAAAGTGAAGAAGTACAGCAAGGCTGTAATGAAAAAATTAACAAATTCAAAAGTAAAGTGTGGAAGGACATCAACACGGTAGAAAATAACATTAGTTACAGAATCTGGAAAATTCATTATTGAATGCAAAGATGAAACCAAGCACACCTCTATCTGCATTGGCTCGGGAGTGTCAACTTTAAACTCCATCTACCACAAAATATCGAATATGAGAACTTATCTGGTCTACAGCTATTAACACTATTGCTATACCATTTGTTACTGAAAGACCTTCCTGAACTATTCCAGCTATAACACTACTAAATAAGGTTTCTGAATTTAGCTAGCCAGTTAAGCTTTGGCTAATCAAAAAACCTATAAACGATGATTAGAAAGTACCATGGGAAACAGAACAGGCGCAGTTCGAAATCATTTTCCTGGTGAACAATAAGCCATTCATTTCGCTGTTCATTTAAAAGGATCAAGTTGACAACATTAAGTAACCTCCCAGCTAAGAGCAGTAACAAACAACAATCATTATTATCTGCCTTATCCAACAGGTTTGGAGTGTTGTACCAGAAATAAGTATTCAGAACAAGGTATGGAGGAAAGATGAGACCTTAGCTGAACTTGTAAAAGATTTGGAAATGCTTGCCCGTTTTTATTTAGATGTTCTTTGTGAAATAGTGGAATCGCTGGCATGTGATCAGTTTATAGATGCCATAACAAACAAATACGTGAGAATTAGGTTGAAACAAAGTAGTTGCGCATCCTTAAAGGAAGCACTGCAGTTGACAATGGAGCTAAAATCCGTTAAGGTTGCAGATAAACAACTAAAATACCTCCTCAAAGTTATGGGAACATCGGATCGAGTAATATTGAAACATCAATTGACACTTATAATAGTCTAGAAGAAATAAAAGATTGTTGAGACAAATATTTATAAAGAATGGATGGAATAACCCACAAAACAACAAGTGTTTCAGTTGTAACTTAAGAGGACATGTTGCCAGAAATTGCAGAAAAAATCTTTTATGGAATAAGGACTCTTCCCAAAGCATACCAAAAAAAAAAGAAGATTGTTATAGACGTGGAAACTCAGACATTACAGTCGAGATTGCGAGGAATCAACCAGATCAAAGGAACAACAAATGGCTAACCAGACATAAAAGAAACAAAAACTAGCTGGATTTAGGAGATAATTTTAACTGGAAATACCCCATCTACCTCAAATGAAAAAAAAAAAACGCTTATTTTTTGAGGAAAATCTTTCATGAATCTATGGGTTTATTGATGGAAAACTTTGCAGCTTAATGATTGACATTGATTCTACAAATTCAATTGTTCGGCCCAATTTGTAATGAAAGGTGGGAACTTCCTTCATAAATAAAGAAAGAAGAGGGATTGATGCAAACGAAAGGAAATTTGAAAGTTATCCTTACTGTAGAAAGCTTATCTATACCTCATTATGTATGGGTAATTGACATTGAAGATGAGTGCATCTTGGGAACTGACTTCATACTGAGATATGGATATAAGATTAAACTAACTCCAAATAGCTTCATAGTCTATGACCAGAACATCCATGTATATTAAATGCCAATTACTACACTGGAGGTTAAACTTCTGGTGGAAACAGGGATGGCTGTCATTGCCTTACCAAGTTTTCAGCAATAAATCTACCTACATCTAATGACTGGGATGTATAGAACCAATTATTCTGGCATGTCTTGAGGACATGGTGATTGGAAGAACTTTTATGGTTGTGAAGAATGAAAATGATGTACATGAGTTTACCCAGAAAAGATTAAATCAGCTTGTGATAAAACGAAAAGTTGTTGTGATGTAAACTACAAGAGCCAGAATGATAAGCAATCCAAGCCCAAGATCATTCACCATGATTATTTTTGAAAGTATGTAGGTTAAAGAATAGCAAACTGGGTAACTCCATCAAAGAATTTACAAGTGAAAAGTTAGCCTACTGAAAAGTCTATTGTTTTTTGGAAACTACTTCTAGAGAATCATCGAGAATGGAACCAACAGTGGATTCACTCAACCATTTACCTAGGAAGAATTTCCTCACTTACAGAACAGGTAGTAGAAACAAAGAACATAAAGTCATTACATCTATATAACATTGGCCTTGGAAGAGGAAATCACCAAAAAGACTTGGAAAGTGACTAGTTCAGTGTACTGTTTTATTATTTTGTGTTAGGAATGTTCAAGGGACTTCACAATCAAGAAGTGGCAATGTTGCAAAACATATTTTTCGTGTTCTAATTTGTTTATTCACTGTAGGGAACTGTGGGGCACTATAATGACTTAAGATAAGAAATGTAGACCTAGAACACCTAGAAACTTCTAGAAGAATTCACAAGAATTTCTAGTAAATTCAAGGGTAGGTTATAAATACAGATTTCAGTGAAGCAGCATAGAAAATAGTTAAGAAAATAGCATAGTATTTTGCATCTGGTAGGGTGAATCAGTTAGTATGTATTTAATTTCATCCGTGAAGTGGTACAAGTAACTTTATTTTTATATTATTGTTGTGCAGTTAGTGTCACTTGTAAACTTGACCTACAAAGTCTACAGTGTTCAGACTTGTAAAAATGTTAAGGAAGATATAAGCTAATGTACTGAATGTACAGATAATTTGAAATATCCCACCAACAAAAGACAGTGTTATAACAATACAATAAACTTTACAATAATATGCAATAAATAAGGATTCAAGTCACTTTGGAATCACCTGAATGTTTTACCGTCACTACCTACTCACTAAACCAAATAAGGTTTACCGTATGTCATGTAAAACATTTTTCATACATTTCAAACAAAAGTAATTTAATATGAAAAGATATTCAAGAATAAAAAGAATGTCTAAAATCTAAAATATTCTTAGGTCTGTGATGTTTTCACAAGTATTCCTAAGTCACTTTTATAAAACCATAATATATTATATTTAATCTGCTTTATCCAGGTTTGTTTTCCAACATAAATTCAATTTTAGAAAATTTAGAAATAACATTTTTAGATGGGATATGAATAAGGGGAGGAGTTAATCGCCAAATGTGATTCACAATATGATAATATGACACAATCTAGGAGAAGTCCTCTCCTGGATGTTGGGCTTTCACCACTGATATGAAGAGTGATGTCTTTGATCTTGTTCCAGCCACAGGTTCATGGAAAACTGCAGTCAGGGATTTCCAAATCTTCTTATCAGAACCTGAACTTTGATTTGCAGGAGACAGAGAAAACTGAAATACAGACATACTGTCTGTATTTCCTGCACCAAGTAGGGGG